CGAATGGAAGTGGTGTCACGAGCACGATGCAGCCTTTGAGAAAGTCAAGAAGCTTTTGACCACTGCGCAATTACTGAAATACTATGACCCAGAGCGAGAACTAACAATACAGTGCGACACCAGTGAAAAAGGGCTTGGGGCAGCTCTGATGCAGAAAGGACAGCCCGTGGCCTTTGCAAGCCATGCACTGACAGAACCAGAAACGCAGTACGCACAAATAGAGAAGGAGATGCTCGCCGTGGTTTTCGCCCTTCAAAAATTTGACCAATATGTATATGGTCGAAGTGCTACAGTTGAGAGTGATCACAAGCCACTCGCAGCCATTACAGCCAAACCGCTACGGAGTGCACCGAAAAGGCTCCAGGGAATACTGCTGAAAGTACAGAAATACGACACACGCATAGTATACAAGCCTGGACCAGAAATATACCTGGCAGATACGCTGAGCCGAGCCTTCCTACCGTCATCCCGGAACAACCAAGGCGAGTTCGAAAGGGCGAATGCTGTCAAGTACCTGCCGATAACCGCGAACGCCTCTATGAGTTAAAGGCGGCCACACTAGATGATGATAGTCTCCAACAGCTAAAAGAGGTCATACAGTTTGGTTGGCTAGAGGATAGGAAGGACCTCCCAGCCATGGTGGCGCCCTACCACAGCTATCGAGATGAGCTGAGTGTGTATGACGGACTTGTGTTCAGAGGTGAGCGCCTGCTCACACCAAAGTCCATGCGCCAAACCATGAAACAGCAGTTGCACAGCTCACACATCAGAGTAAACGCGTGCCTGAGACGAGTAGGAGAATGCCTGTTTTGGCCAGGCATGACCTCAGGCATAAAGCAATGCATCTCACAGTGCGAAGCTTGTATCACCTATGGAGCAAAACAGCAGAGAGAAACCCTAATGAGCCACGAAATCGCAGAACGCCCATGGGAGAAGATTGGGGCAGATCTATTCACTATTGATGGCAAAGATTACCTTGTCATGGTGGACTATTTTTCTAATTTCTGGGAAATAGACCATCTACCCGACACCAAAGCAAGCACCATCATCAGGCAGATGAAGCGTCATTTTGCCAGACAAGGGATTCCAGACATCGTAATAAGTGACAATGGCCCTCAATTCAGTTCAGACAAGTTCAAAGCATTCACTAGTGCGTGGGGGTTTGACCACTGTCCTGGTAGTCCTGGGCACCAACAGAGCAATGGGAAAGCCGAGGCCACAGTGAAAGAGGCCAAGCGGCTTCTTAAGAAAGCCAAAGAGACTGGTGGCGACCTCTATCTCGCCTTGTTGGCACACCGCAACACGCCAACGGTATCCATGGACAGCAGCCCGGAACAACGACTCATTGGACGGCGTTGCCAGACACAGCTTCCAACAACGCGACAGCTGCTGAAGCCACAAACTGTACGTCCAAAATTTGTAAAGCGAGAAACAAAGGCAAAGCAGCTGAAACAGGCAAAGTATTATGACAGAGGAGCTCGAGATCTAATGCCCCTCGAAGTAGGAGATGTGGTGAGGATGA